AAAAAGCAGTATGGGGACCAACAGATGGCACAATGGTTATGTTGCTGGACTCCCACATAGTTGACTGCGGTTCAATTCCTAGATCCAGTGGCTTAAAACTCACATTGGGCGCATGTGCGTGTGTGCCCAAAACCCTGAGAAGAGAATGGAGAAGAGATTGTGGCATGGCCGCCCGCTCCATGGGGAGTGATTTCTCACTTTCTTCTCTCTCTGTGTCTCTCCAGTGAGCACATGCTCCCTGTAACAAAAGTCTCTCTCTAAAAAAGTAAATACAGTATGAAGCCATAGGAAGGGTGATAGCCCTGAAAGTGAAGGTGTATTGAAAGAAGGCTGAGGTTAGACTCTTAGAAAACACTCACATTTCAAAAATGAGATAAAGGGGGAGGGGTAGAGAGGGTAGTAGCAGAACAAGGATAAAGCAGTGCCCTGGAGACAAAGGAAAGGGCGAGCTTTGAAAAAGAATGACCGTTTAAATGCTTCATTCATTCGACAAATATTTGTTGGTCATTCTGTGGACCAGGAACAATGCACAATGAAGGACAGGCTTGGGTGAGGGAAAGGTTAGTCTGGAAATTGAGGTGGCAGGATCAAGGGCTGTACATTCTTCATACAGGAATAGCCTGAGCATAGTTGCAGCCGAGGGGTGAGAAGCCAGGAGAAAGGGAGAGAGGAAAGATGATAGAGAAGTCCTAGAGAAAGTTGGAAAGGAGAGGGAACAAGATATGCAAAAGCATTGGCGTTGTAAAGGAAGAGGGATATTTCTTCCTTTGAATCCAAAAGGAAGAAGTAAAAGTGCAAATTTTTTTTTAGAATTAATTTATGGGGGACCAGCAGGTGGCATGGTGGTTAAGGCACTGGACACTCCCACATGGCTGATCATGGTTCAAGTTCCAGACCTGGTGACTTACTTTCTAACTTTCTCTCTCTCTCTGGCTGATCCAACTGGAAAATAATAATAATAAATAAAGTTAAATAAAATAACTCTTTAAAAAAAGAATTTAATTTATTGGGACTGGCAGGTGATGTGGTGGTTGAGGTGCTGGACTCCCACATGGCTGACCATGGTTTGAGTACCAAACATGGTGGCTTGCTCTTTCACTTTCTATCTCTCTTTGTGTCTCTCTGGTCAAATTAAAATAATAATAATAGTAATAATAAAAAATAAATAAAATTAAATAAATAACTTTAAAAAGAATTTTTTATTATTATTATTATTATTTAAATTTGACCAGAGAGAGACAGATAAGGATAGTGAGAAAGCAAGCCCTCAAGTCTAGGACTTGACCTGAGGTCAGCCATGTGGGAGTCCAGTACATTAACCATCATGCCACCTGCTGGCCCCCATGGAGAGGAATTTTTTTTTTAAGAATTACTTTATTTAATTGTACTTATCATTATTATTATTATTTGTTTTGACTAGAGAGAGAGAGAGAAAGTGAGAAAGCAGGATAGTGAGAAAGCAAGCCCTCAAGTCTAGGACTTGACCTGAGGTCAGCCATGTGGGAGTCCAGTACATTAACCATCATGCCACCTGCTGGCCCCCATGGAGAGGAATTTTTTTTTTAAGAATTACTTTATTTAATTGTACTTATCATTATTATTATTATTTGTTTTGACTAGAGAGAGAGAGAGAAAGTGAGAAAGCGAGCCACTAGGTCAAGAACTTGAACCACTATCAGCCATGTGGGAGTCCAGCACCTTAATCACCATACCACCTGCTGGTCCCTTGGAGAGGAATTTTTGAGTAATGGATCAAGACCTTGAGAAAGATTAAGAGATTGGCATGCATGTCCTCAATCTCGTAAAACAGGAGAGAAAGGCATTCCATAGATAGTAGGGGACAGGAACAAGTGGAAAAGTTTTGAATAGTTACCTTGTGGGTGACAGAAAGTTCATAAGAGATAAATAAAGGGTCACTAGGTTGCCCTGAGAGCTCAACAATGAGCTTGGTCAGGGAATCTGGGGCTCAGTAAACACATTCTGGTGGTTTCCCCTCAGCAATACTCCATAATCCAGGAGTAAATGAAGGAGGATGAGGTGGGAATTGGCAGTGTGGAGCAACAATCCTGATTTAGGAACTGACTAGTACATGTGCAGGCGAGTGGACAGAACTGAGCATGTTACACTAAGTAAAGAGTCAGATGAGGGACCAGCAGGTGGTGGTGGTTAAGGCGCTGGACACTCCCACATGGCCGACCCGGATTCGAGTCCTAAATCTGTTGGCTTGCTTTCTCACTCCTCTCTCTCCCATTCTCACCCTCTGTCTCTCTGTGGTCAAATTAAAAATAAATAAATAAATAAATAATAAAATAAATAATTATTTTTTAAAAAAGAGTCAGATGAGATCGGAAGGGGTTCTGGGACTTGAGACTAGAGTATAAACTTGTTTTTCTAAATTTTTTTTTCCCCCACAGGGTGTGTGTACTTGTGGGAGAGAGAGACAGAGAGAAAAACAGTGAAAAGGAAAGTGAGAAATCATCCTCTGGGGGGATGGCCACACCATAATCCCTTCTCCTCCATTTTCTTGGTGGGATTTTGGGCTCACACACACACACACACACACACACACACACACACACACATCGGGCGTGTGTTGCAATCGGACATCACACACTCACCTGGCATGAGTTTCAAGGTGCCAGGTCCAGAGCTTGAACCGTGGTTGCTCATGGGGGAAGTCCAGCACCTTAACCATGATGCCACCTGGTGGCCTTGAACTTGAAGCTAGAAAGGTGAGGACATGAAGCACAAATGGCAGATCTGAACCTTGGAAGCAAAGCTGTCTAGTGTCACAAGCTGCCCAGCGTGGTGCTACGGGAGACTGAAGAATGGTAGAGTCAAAGGATATGGGAATTGGGAAGATTAAGGAATTGTGAGATGTTTAAATTAAACGATAAATAGCAGGAAAGTTACCATTAAAAGAAGCATAGTCAAGACCAGCAGATGGCAAAGGGGTTACATCAGGAGACAGATTCCCACAGGGCCAACTGGTTCCAGTTCTGAACCTGATGGTTTGAAAATCGTGCCAGGCGTATGTGTGTGCATGCCCAAGATCCTGAGAGGAGCATGAAGGAGAAGGGATTGCTGGAGCGGCCATCCCTCCTGGGGGGCGATTTCTCACTTTCCCTCTCACTGTCTCTCTCTGGCTACACTCACCCTAAGGCAAAAAACCTCTATGGGAAAAAACAAGCAGCAGCGTAGTTATATTGCAAGTAAGGGTAGGCTGGGGATCTGGTTCCTCTTGTAAAATTCTACTAACACATTGGTCCCTTTGGGGGAGTCACTGCCCTTTTCTGAGGTAGTATCAAAAGACTTCCCAGGCCACCTCCTGCTCCGAAAGGTAAGGCCGCTTAAGATAATGGCAGAGGATTGGCTGATGAGGACACCTCCGAACTGGCCACTCTCGCCGGAGAGGCATCCATCCGGAACTTTTCTGCTGTGCTTTCTGCCGGACGCGCCGAAGGGGAAACCGGAAGTCCTTCGCCGGGAGGTTCCGGGTCTTTTGGGGTACTACGATGGCGATGAGTTTCGAGTGGCCGTGGCAGTATCGCTTCCCGCCCTTCTTTACGTGAGGCTCAGACCCTGAGAAGCCCCGCTGTGCCTTTCTGCCCTCCCCCGGACCCGGGGCTCAGCCGTGATGCTCCACATGGGGAGGGGGACGAAAGACCTGGCCGCCAACGCCCTCAGTCCTTCACATTCTCCCCCAAACGCGCCCCTGGGCAAGTGCTCCCTCTCTAACTCTGCGCCCCACTCCCTTCCCCCGGCAGGTTACAGCCGAACGTGGACACCCGGCAGAAGCAGCTGGCCGCCTGGTGCTCGCTGGTCCTGTCCTTCTGCCGCCTGCACAAACAGTCCAGCATGACGGTGATGGAAGCGCAGGAGAGCCCGCTCTTCAACAACGTGAAGCTACAGCGTATCCTCCCCCAGGCTCTCCCGCAACCCCACACATGCACTTCCACTGCCCAGGCATCACCCCACACCGTTTACTCACAGTAGGTGGGTTCCCACCAAACAGACTTGGGAAAGAGCGAGTATGTAGAGCTGGCATTCATTTTCTCCCCTACCCCCAAATGCAGTAACAAACCATCTGTCTTAGGCAGTGATGGGTGTTTGAGTGTCCTTCAGGTCTTAGAATCTCTGCCCTGAAGCCAAGGATGAGATATAAACCCTAATACTACTTTAAAACATTTTCTCCACCCACCCCCTTCTCCCAGGAAAAATGGGTCATTTGTTTTTGTTGCTTGATTCTTTCCCTTCTGTGCAGAAGGACTGAAGGAAGATGAGAAAACAGATGGTGAGGAATGGTAGTACTTTTTGTTGTCTAAAGCTCTGCCTTTTCATTGGAATAGTTTCTCTTTACCTTCCTCCCGGAAATGTTGAGGAAACACTAATTTGTGTCTTGGGAAATAGCATACATAAGTATGTCAAAGAGAGAGGAAGGGGACAGGTGGTTCTCAGCATGGAAATGCCCCTGTGAATTTTATCCCACCCAACTTGTGTACGTGCCATTCCTTTAACCTTAAACCAGGGAAGCTTCCTGTGGAATCAATCCAGATTGTATTAGAGGAACTGAGGAAGAAAGGTGGGTTCAGTTCCCCAGATTCCTCATTTTTTCTTCCTAGTTAGGTTTTCTGGAGGGCAGATTAAGACAAATCTTTTCCCTTTAATAACTTTTTCTCTCCCCTGACTTGAAGCCCAGTGTTTTGTATGGTACAAGGCCCAGTTCCCAAATCCTTTCTCCTGATTGTATACAAACTTGAAATCTCTCTCTCTGTGCCCTAAACCTGAAGAAGGGTAGAAGGAGAATGGGGTGCCTTGCAGATACTCAGTAATAGTAAATACTGAATCTCTCTTTCTGAAAGCTGAACCTCTTGTACTTTGACCCACCTTGATATTTGCCTCTGTGTCTCTTCTTGGAGCATCAAGCTTTCATAAGTGTCTACTTTGCAGGGAACCTCGAGTGGTTGGATAAGAACAAGTCTAGCTTCCTGATCATGTGGCGGAGGCCAGAAGAATGGGGGAAACTCATCTATCAGTGGGTGAGATCATCCTGCTGCCAAGCCCTAAGCAATGACCCGTGGCAAAGGAGAATTCTTTGGTGCCCCGAAACTGGTATTCGCAGATCCAGACTGAACGAAGTGGGGAGGGGGCAGAGAGAGGAAGTATAAGCTTCCAGGCAAACACTTTCAGTGACTCAATTTCTTTGGCTGCACAGAACCGCCCTTTCTTTGCCCGTAGGAGACCAGAGGCTACGTGAGGCGATGTTTAGAGAATGCAGTACTGGGAACCATGAGTGCTATTGTTGGCTGGAGCCACTGGCCACAGGAGATAAATGGGGAAAGGAAGGAAAAAAAAAAAAAAAAAACACCCTGGGACCTCTCCCCACTGCATACTTACGGGGCTGTCTGCACCATGAATGAGACATTCTGAACTAGTGTGGGTGTGGGGACAGGATACTCGTTTCCCCAAGTTTCTAGCTACCACCAGCTCCAAACATTCTCAGGGGAGAGAAGAGGGGAAAAAGCATCAACAACCTAAATATAACAAACATACACCACCCATTCCTGAACAGGAAAACAACCAGAACGAGAGGTCATTCCTCAGACACGTGAAGGCCTGTGGTTTAGTGGTTCTAAATGTGTGTGTACACATACAAATATAGCACCTGTAGGGCTTGTGGTTTTTAGGCCACTCTGCAGAGGTGACAGTGAGCCTGGTTTGGGAATAGGTTTCATTCCTGGACTAGAGATGGAGCTTGTGCATTTACCTTCTTCCTTACTTAATCTTCATTTTCTGTGTCTATAGGTTTCCAGGAGTGGCCAGAACAACTCTGTGTTCACCCTGTATGAACTGACCAATGGGGAAGACACAGAAGATGAGGGTAATGCCTTTCCCTCCAGTTTTGTCATCTAAATCCTTTCTCTAATCTGGTTTAATTGGTATTCAGCTTTCCTATTTTTCTCCCTCTCAAGTACTGCATAATACGCAAGTTTTATTTTTTAAAAGTTTTGTTTTAGTCACAATAGACAGCATGGTTGGGCAGGAGAGGGGGGCGACACCGTAATGGGTTCTCGTCATGCTGTGTTTCTCTTTCATTAGCCCTTCAGCTTGTTAGGATCTTGGACAGATGTACCTTGTGTATGTGTGTGTGTGAATATTTATTTAATTTTATTTATTATTATTATCATTTTAAAATTTGCTGTAGGGCATATGCACTCACCAGAGAGCGATAAAGAGAGAATGAGAAAGCAAGCCCCCAGGTCTGGGACTTGAAGTGTGGTCAGCTATGAGGGAGTCCAGCACTTTAACCACCACACCACCTTCTGGTCTTCCAGGTGTGTGGTTTTTTAATATGTGTATATATATAGAGAGAGAGAGAGAGAAAGAGATTTTTTCTATAGGGCACATGCAGTTCCTGGACAGACAGTGAGAAGTCACCCCCCTGGGGGTGGATGGTCATGCTACAATTATTTCTCCTCCATTCTCCTTTCAGAATTTTGGGCACACATGCACATGTGTCTGGTGTGAGGATTTTTTTTTTTTTTTTT